GGATCTTACCTTGGACTACAGATGTTTTGCTGTGAATAAAAGTTACAGGAGAAAATATACTTTAACTTCATGTTGTTACAGACTTTTACATTGTCATTTATCCTCAACCTCATTTTATTAAATGTATTAAACACTTAACAAGCATAAACATAATTAGTCTGGTTTATTAGAGTTTATTTTTAACCAGAAGGTCAGAAAATAACCCTGAACAATAAATCAGAAAAGAACTTTGACCGATAAGAACGGCTCTGAGCAGAAATGGTCTCCAGAGGAGAACTCAGACCTGCTGACTGTTTGCCAGAGACCATCATGGTAACCCCAGCATCACTGGTTGCTTCTTCCTCATATCAGAAAGTCCTCACAGTCACCATCGGGGAATTTGGTTTTTCGAATGACACCTCATGATTATTAATAACCTTCGTCTGATGTTTATCTCTGTGTTCTTAGGAGGTTTTAACAGGTTTTTAAGAAGGAAAGTTAGATTGGAAGCCAGCATAGATCCTGAGGGAAAACTAAGATTAGGATTAATAAATTAAAGAAATGAGCCAATTTTAAGCCAAGAAGACAGCATCTGGTGGGTCAGTGACCCAGCTGGCGACCTGATGGATTAGTGTTGGCCCAAACACTTGGTGATCAGCCCGGATCAGGGTGATGTGCTGCTGATGAGTGGACCGCCTCTGACCCACTTTCCAAACAAATGCCTAAAGCAGAAATAATGCATCAGGAATCAGCTTAACTCCAAACAGGATATCTGATTAATCTTTATTTTCCTTTATTTTAAACCCCCCAGTTATAGATTCAAGCAGCATTAACCCTTTCAGTGCAACTCGCCACGTTGTGTTTTTGGCTGCATGAAGAAAGAGAAAAATCTTTCTGTTTGTTTCAAACATAGGATTATATCAAGAAATCAGAGAGCTGCTTTACTTTGATTCCTAATGAAGGGTCATTATTTCATGATGCTGCCAGAAATTATTTACTTTAAAGTACTTATTTCCATATAATATTTCCCTGTAGTGGAAACACATTTGAAAAAAAAAATATTCTAGCAAAAAAAAAAAAAAAAAATAGTCAAGAATTGCACAGGAACAAGAAAACTTCCCAAAAGTAATACATTTTTCTAATTTTGGTGTGTTTATTTACAAGCAGCTAATAACTGCTTCTTACCATCTAATATAAAATGTCCATATTTGGTGCCTCTTAGTTTATATCTAATTGAACACCAGAGGTACTATGACGGAGTATTAGGGCCAGGCTACAGATTTTTTTCTTTCTATTTCCAGAATGAAGTCGTACCATTATGAGAATAAAGTCGCAAAAATAACAGTCATAATATTACTAGAATAAAGTCATAACATTATGAGAATAAAGTCATAAAATTACAGGAATAAAGTCATAACATTACAAGCATATAGTCGTAAAATTACGAGGATAAAGTGTCTGGAGAGATATGTCA